AGGATCTAGAAAATAATCGAGGTTGATTTAGTAAAATCGTAAAAATATTTTGATAAAAAACAAAAAACAATATCGTGGCAACCGTAGTTTTTAATACATCTGGCAACATTAATATGCATATATGTCTACTATTAAACATATCCAATATTTGGCGCGCTTGCAATTACTTTATATATCAATATCTAAGAGAATAATAACATCGTTAGCACATCAATGAAAATGGATTCCAACTTAGGACGTGGATTTTATGAGGTATATAATTCCTCTAAAGAAATACTGAAAAATAACCAGAAGCACCTGTATCATAGTGTAAGTATGTTTGTTATGTAGAATAACTGACATCAAGATATACATTTTTGCAGATGCTAGATCTACTAGCTAGCACGAGTAAGAGTACTCCTGCTGCAGTTGTTGGGAAGATTTTACGTTCCGATGAATTTGTCCGTTTTTGGATTGAGGACATATTACCGTTGGCTTTCGACGAAGATGCTACAATACAGGGTAGTGCGATAAATGCTTTAGAGCAAGGTTTGTTAACATTAGACATTAGCAATATACCAAATGGTAGTTGTTGGAATGGTGTTAAAAATAAGATTGTGAAAGAGTATGCTCCGCGTGTGCATCAACTGCGAGAAGACAGGAGCCAATACTGGCATCGTGTTTGGTGCATACTAATTCGTTTATTGGATCGGGAGATACTGAAAAGCGCCAGCACAATAAATTTATTTTTATCCATTGTTGAACTTGGATTTCGTAGTCCCGATAATTCCGTCAGAGCAGAAGCATTTACATGTTGGCGTCTTCTTATTCAAATATTTGCCAGCCATAATCAATTAACATCTCCTAAAAGATTAAAGCTCGTTTGTATTCCTCTCAAATCTTCTCAGTCGAAGACTCCATATGTCGCTGCGGTCAAATTACGTATTTGGTGGTACTTGATAACATGTTTGGGCCCACAAATAAATGAGAATTTTGAGAACGTCGTTGAAACGTTTCTAATATTTTGTTTTGGTTCAGAGTCAAAAGGCACTCCCGGAATTATACAGCAGTACCTATCGGTTCGAGAACTTGCATTGACATGCTTGGCTACAATTGTATCAAAAGAGCAGGACGATTTTCTTCAAAGATTATTAAGGGAATATGAGATGGAACCTTTAGCTCAAAATACACAAATAGTAAATTCCAATATAATAGAAAATTTTGGTAAATCTATATTTTATGCTGTATTTGAAGCTTCTAACTTGCTAATCGAAAATGGAAAACAGAGTGATTTAGAACTCAGATTACTAAATGTAATTATAAAGAATTCAACTCGCATATTAATAAACAATGATATTGCTTCATTATTTGAGTACTTTTGCGATGGTTTAAGACAAATAACTGAAAAAAGTTGTATACCTATAAAAATCGTTGCGGACGTGATTGGAACTGAAGGCTTACGATTTTCTCATTCTTTAAGTGATTTTGATAATTATATTAAAATCTTACACTATCTGGTACAATTCCTGACATCTGGACGAGAATTTATTTCACATAATATTATTCAGCAATGCATATCTCAAATTTCTAATTTAGACGCCTTTATATCAAAAAATATGTGTTGGCGCGCGGTAGAAGTAATAGCCGACTACCTTGTCAATATGCTAAATGACGAAGACTTTGTTTATTTTGAAATTAAATTTTTAATTTGGCGTCATATATCATCAGAGATGGTAAATACTATCAGAAATAAAACTTTCGGTCGAACGGCAGATGAATTCATTGATATACTAATATCATGGAGTTTATGGCCATTGCGGATGGTTACTGAATTTACTGGGCGTCGTAACACTACTATCTTCGACGAACATTTTTATTTGCTTTGGCATAATTTACTGCAGCTTTCTGAAAACACTGTTGGTAGAATGCAACTGTTAACGGAAGTTGCCGAAGTTTTAAGTACAATGTTGAGATCAGATTATGAGTGGGGAGTTTTTGTTAATCTATTTAACGCATATGCTGATGAAGTAATGAAACACGATTGCGCTAACTATTCAAAGCACTACGAACAATTATTTTTAATTTTACAAGAAGTAATTCAAAAGAAATTACAGTCAAAGGAGAAAGAAAAATTACTTACAATATTCCGGTGCGTTCTACATGGTTTAAAAACACCTGACAGCAGTTTGTTGGAGTCAATTAAATGTTCACTAAAGCATGTTATTCGTAATTCCTCTAAAGGAGGAGTAAACTCAAAATTTTATGAAGAATGGAAACATTCTATTCTAAATATCGTACGTGCTTTTATAGACAAAAACTTTACAAATCAAGTTACGGAATTATTTAAAGATGATGTATATGTCATAATACCATCCGTCTGGAGCCTTAAACCTGAAAAGTTGACTGACCGACAAAAGGAACGTATTGCCGAGAAAACAAGTATCCCTGCATTATATAACGACATGAGTCAGTCGCAAGACTCTTTAATAAAACCCTGGACTCCGAAGAAAATTGTTATAGCAAAGGAAGATCAAAATGAGATAATTATTGAAGGTTTGAACATGCGACGAAATCAAAATATTTCAACTGTAAGAGATGAATTTCAAAACAAAACCAGCCTAGATATTTCATCAAGTCATAAAAATATTGGAGCAGTACCAAGTACATCCAAAGAAAATTTGGAAACTTTACTTAATAATTCAATTGACAAATCAAATATGGAAATGGACCACAACAAACCTCAAGAGGTTAATGCCAAAAAATGCAATTCGAAAGAGGTGAGTATTATTGAATATGTCTCGTAAGTGGATATTCAATGTTTCGATATTAAATTTTATATGCTCGGGACGAGCTCTGTTAAACTAAAAATAAGTTATGGGAACTCTATAACCACTCAACCCGTTTCCAGCTAATGTTGCAACTACCCATTTGACTTACCAGCCGTCCATGACTGCCGACGAAGAGGCGAGGTACACACACGAGTTGTTGACGCTGCTGAGAGCGGCGAAACGTTGCCAGCTGCCAGTGTGTTTGCACACTTTTGAACAAATTCATAATTTTAGTCAAAGAATTTCATAATTTATATGCTTGAATATATACGCAAGCCAAATAGACACGATCTATCTATCTATATGGTAACAAATAATTAGTTACGCATTTAGTTTTCATTTCTTTTGAAACAAACTACGCGTTTTCTTCGATTATTTACATGCCTATTCTGTCGAGGTGAAAAAATTTACCTAGGTATTAAAATTTACCATTCAGTAAATTTTGTTACCATTTCGTATTCTGAGCTCACTGTTACCCTGTAAACTTTGTTACCAGCGAAATAGGAGGTAACAAAAATATCTGCTGTTTGATTTTGTGTTGTAAGTTTAAGAAAAAATAAAAAACCAAAATGGGTAGGCATATTTTAGGCCTGGAATTCTTAGAATTTGGAGAAAAAAAGTGCAAAAAGCCGTATTTTAAGAAGTTTTCGAGACTTAAAAATAGCCCTTTAATTTGTAAGATAACGTTTTCATTCACCTTTTTTGTTGGCATATTTTCCATAATTAGGTTTAAATATTAATGATTTAATAAACAAATTAATAAAACTTTTTAATTTTTTGTGCATCGTCTTCCATTTCGATGTGAATATTTTTCTTTTTACATTATCAACTGGCAAATGTAATTTGACATGGACGAAAAAAGCAGTGCGCCAAATTTTTTTCAAACATTGTAACCAGTTCGCCAGAATACCAAATTCGATTTCGGGTGTTAAAGAAAAGTAACAAAATTTACTTTACCGGTAACAGTGAGAATAGGCCTGTTAATGTTACTTTAAGAAACATTATACTGGCAACCTTGTATAGCAACGAAAAATGAGCCGAGCCGGTTTTACGGAAAAAATCAAATCGGCGTTGGTTTCTGTGGGACAGCCGTCACTAACGGCATGGGCAAGCGGTGACAACTTTGTGTTTACATGGCGCTTTCATAAGATAGGTTACTATGGACGGCTGGTACGTGAGTTGGGTAGTTGCAGCATAAGATAATTCTCTTATGTGAGGTGTACACTTCTGTTTCCATGCCAGAAATTCGCTTTAGAAATCACGCTTTAAATGTACGGGTTAACGTACAAATTCTGGACTTCCGGGTTAGTAGGTCACTTACATACTTTCTCTGCTACTGTAGCTAGACAAGCGAAAGTAACAAGGGTTTACATAGTACACATCGTCCGCATTTAATGAAACTTATAAATCTATATACAAATGTTTGTATTAACCAAATAGTATTTTCATATGTATGTCACATATAGTATTAGGCGAGTTCCAAAACATCAAAATACTTTGTAATGATTGCTCTCCGGAGAAATGGCTAAAATATAAAACAGTTCAAAAATATAAGTAATACAATGTTCAAAAAATATTATTAGTACTTCTAATTAATACTGAATATAAACCGATTATTTAATGAAAGTAATGTTTACGAATGTCTTAAAAGATAATAAATATCACGGAAATATTTTGGCTTCTTATATACAGTAATAAAATAAGTTGATTAAAACAGCCAATACAGCTACCTGCTATTGAGCAAAGTTATAATATTAGTAAAAAAAACTTGTATCGAGTTAATATTAAATAGATCATTGTTTTTGAAACTGAAAAAGCCCAAATAAAACGAGTGTCAAAACCTACGTACCGTTCTACATCAATTATTATATTGCGTTATAATTTTCAATGGAGTCCGTTACAATCATATATTCATCGTGGTGATACTTTTGGCCTTGTATAAAGTTATGTTAGTAAACCGTAGTAATAATAAATATAAATTCACATTTGACTTTAATTTAAACTGTTAGTATCTTTCAATTTTTTCTAGGCAAATGAAATTGACGATGAAGACTTAACTCCTATTATAAATTCCAAAGTATCACAAGCAGTAAACAATGAATCATGTAAGTATTATTATGGAAACATACACACTCACGTATTGTTTTTTCAAAATAAGATTAACAAACGGTTGCCTTATAGTAGCGTTTTTGTTTTATAAAAATATGTTGTTTTATCATATTTTTATTGGTGAATATCTAACTTTACGTTTATTTATAACGCATTTTCAAATATTGGAATGCAAAGGCGAACAAGTGCAGAAGTTCCATTTTAAAAGTGGAATCATACTTTGTATTGGTAAAGGATCTTAATGAGAGAAAAAAATAATATATTGGGTTGAGATAATAGCAGTGACTAATTGTACATACTTATGTACATATCTAAATTTTGACGACCACGTAAGAGAGTTTGAAATAGATAGTAAAGTTTTTGCTCTACCCTACCAAAATTATAAAAATAATATGTAACAGTATTACTAAACCGAGTATCCAATGCAGAGGGTATTGGCTCCTAGACATACAGCTTTTTGAAAATAATAACATTTTCATTTTTCTTCCTTAACTATTTTCCCACTAAAGATCCTAGATGTATAACTGAAGATTCCATAAGAGCTGCCCCGAACGATTTTCGAGATAATCACCTTATGAATTGTGTTGAGAGTAATGAAACAGAATCCGTAAACACAGCTAGTGTGTCAGAAAGTGTGAAGGAAGCTTCTCCAAAAAAATCATCAACAAAGAATTCTCTTTTGGTAACCGAGTAATATGTTCGCATATTAAAGTTTAATTGCTATACATGATTTTTTGTTCATTACTATGTTTTTCAGTTGTCACCACCTGACCGTAAGCTTACAAATAATAACAGCAGTCCTAAGTTACGTCCTAAGCCACCAGCTCACCTCACTGGAAGAGGAGCGCAATTAATCAATATGATACGTAATAGAAAAATGGACGCGCAATCACCACAAACTCCAATGCCTAGATTATTTGTAGCTAAAACTGACAGCATAGATCGTACAGTACCTGATATGGATATAACAGTGGTAGAGCATACATCAACACCGCTAGCGTCAAAAGATATTTTGACTTTCTCTAAACGGCTTCCTTCTCCATCTGCTAGCCCTTCCACCAGTATTTTGAAAAGAAATCGGAGAGAAAGTCTTGAGGATATATCTTTTGATTCACCGGCTTGCAAGAAAAAGAGAGTTAGTTTTCATGATCCACCGGTTTCTTTAACCAAGGAGTATATAAAGTATAATGATGAAAATAAATCCAAACCCAAGCGGTAAGTTTAGCTTACATATTATTTAGAATCACTTCTATTTAAGTAATATGTAATTTGTTTCTCTTCATCTCATTAAGTTGCCTGATTATGGATAAAATGCATTCCAGTATTGAGAAAGGTTCGGAAAATAAATATTTACTGAAACGAAGAAGTAAACTGGATAGTATTATTGAGATTGAAAAGTTTTCAATTCAACAGCCAAACAAATTACAAGAGCAATTGATGAATCAAAGTGTGCGTGCCGAAGATATTGATGATGACAATATTTGTTGTTTAGACACTGAAGAAAACGAATCAAGTAATAAAATAGGTTCTTCAAAACTAACTCAAAATAGCTTAAATCTATCAGAGAAAAAAAATGAGACTGGTTTGCCAAGTAATGCTCTTGAATTGGTCATAGAGAAATATACTTTGGACGAACTATTGGAAAAATATTTAGATTGCGGCAAAGACACAAAATTAAAGCATTATAATACAATTGCGAAAACTATGTCAAAAGGAATGAGTGACAATTCTAAAATAAAAGAGGGCATTCTTGAAGCACTTTCGGAAAATCATTCTAAAGACTTTTTGGATCATGCCATAAGAGAAAATCTAGCTTCGGTTGTGTGTGATCGTTTAAATCTACCTTCAGTTATTGAATATGTCTGTGAAAAGTCCAAAATCAATACTGCCTGTAGAGCTAATTTGTTCGCACAAATACCAGATATTCTTAAGCACTGCAAACAAGACGCTGAACGCTTAAAAGTTTTACAAACAATGTTCGGTAGTAGCAGTTTAAAAGACTCGGATATTTTGGATTTGATTCAAACATTGTTGCGTATGAGGTCGATGGACAAAACCATGTCAGTAACTGTATCAGAAGCAGCTATAGATTCTTCATCTAATCTATAATATTTAATTGCTTATTTTAAAAATATTTTAATATTTCTACAATATTACACTACTATGTACAGAATAATTAAAATAAAAATGTTAACTGGGCATAACACATTAAAGGTTTGTTTAAAATAAGTGGATGATATTCTTGGGCGGCGACAACAACAAAACCAACACGGCATATCATGGCAATTTTAACTATTTTCTTCATTCTTATACTGCTAAAGTATGGATGAGTTCCAAAACGTCAGTTGCAAAGCAACCATACATTTTCACGCATACCTAAATGCAACTTTCAAACCTTGACAATGTATCATGTTCCAAAAGGCATCGGTAAAGTTATTAATGCGCAAACAGAAGAAAACTGCGGTTGCGAGACTGCATCATTGCAAAGTATTTTGTTTTGAAACTCGCTGATATCCTATATCTCCACACATACGTATATATGTACATTTGTTTCACACAGATTGCAATAATTTAGTTGTCAGCTTGCTATTGTTTCACTCGGATTTGCCACAATCATGCAATGAGGTGCTTTCGTTCTCTAGCAAATCTCCCTAGGGAATTTTTGCATAGCATTTAGGTAATTTAAGCTGCAAAATGAGAATAAAAAATAAAAATATTCAGTCCTATTCTGCTTTTCGATTACGTTCCCGCTCTCCGCTCCACTGCAGTCGTAATTAGGTATTCTGAGTTACGATTGAATCGAAAGAAGAAGAGGAAGAGAAAACATTTCGAAATCAGTTGCTTGCATGTATATTTGTGAAATTTAAAAATGAATTAAAACAAATATTGTGAATTATATTTTTTATTTCATTAAAAGAATTTGGTACATTTCATAGTCTTCACAAATAAATAATTCTTATTATATGATAAAATTCTGCATTCGTTTTACATAGATGAAAAACAATAAAAATAAACGAACAAAAATAAAGAATCAAAAAGAAAATGAATTAAAAAAAAAAAGCAAAAAATTGATTATGCTGGCTGGTAATTTCGGTTCAACCTCAGCATCTGCAGCTTAATCTCAATTTTCTCCCAGGCAAGTCTACTTTATTTACAATAGTTGAGTCTTTTCTGCTCCTGTACTTTCAGTATCTGCCATGCTTTCTAAAGAGCGATTCATGCCTCGTTATTATGTCTTCTGCTTTCTACACAAAACTGTTTTTGCAGAGCTATTTACTCCCTTAATAAGGGAGCAGTGCCCTGCTTGTCTGACCTTTCTCTTGGTAGACCAAGTGCTTTTAGGGCATTACGGCAACATCCCCCCAAAATGCTTTCACTTCTTCCATCGGGCGCTTTTGTAACACTTGCGCAATGTCCATATTGGTGGCCTACTCTCGCGTGCGCATCCGGCATCCTGCAACCTGGAGACATTGTGCGTTGGATAACGGCTCCGACTCATTCGGTTGAAGGTCCGCAAAAGTCTAATTGCAGCGTCTGTTCACAAGAGGTGAGGCTGCGAACGGGCGTCGGTCTTGAAGCAAGCGGCTCGCTATATACGTACTTATAACTTGAGTGATGGGTTTGGGACCTGCCACGTGGAAGCCATCTCCAATGAAAAAATTTACAACGACTCTGACGAGATAAGAAACAGTCGGAAAATACAGCGATCCAGTTTTAATTGTGCGTACGTCCCAAGGCCCTAACATCGACTCAGATCACTATGTTATCACAGCGAAGAAACGCATGCGCCTCTGTGTATTAAGGAACGTCTGTCAACAAACACAAGAAAGGTTCGACTTCAAAACGCTCCAATTACAACAGACTACCGAGCGGTTGTCTACTCGACTTGCACTCCTGCTCTCGGAGACTCCTTATCATGTGATTTTTTTTAATTTGATACTAGAGAGGATAATAAGAGGTACAAAGAACGTACAATCTTCTATAAAAGTTGCTGACGTACGCCGATGATATGGACATTATTGACCTAAACAACCGCGCTGTGAGTCCCGCTTTTCCCAGACTCGATAAAGAAGCGTAGGATATGGTTTTGGTAGTGAACAAGGATAAGACGTAATATCACCTGTCATCAAACAAACACTCATCGCATTCGCGACTCGGCTCCCGCGTCGTAGCTAACTTCGTCTATCTTGGAACCAGTAGTAACGCCATCTATGTCATAATCACTCTTGCCAGCAGGTGCTACTTCGGACTGAGTAGGCAGTTGAAAAGGAAAGTCCTCTCTCGACAAACGAAAACCAAACCAAACTCTTCAAGTCGCTTATCGTTCGCGTCCTGATGCGATGACAACATCTGATGAGGATGAGTCGGCGTTATGAGTTTTCGAGAGAAAGGTTTTGCGTAAGATTTAAATGGTTACATAGGTCTTGAAACTTCAAAAAACTCATTTTTTTTGGATAATTTATTGTATAAACGTACAAAGTGTCAGAAATATTTTCCCCAAGTTTGAAGACGATCAAAAAGAAACTGTAGAAATTTGAGAGCTTTTAACCCGCCGTCTTTGTCATGGCTTGACCGATGATAAAACTTTAAACGGGTTTTTTTTGAAACCACTTTATAGAAATCGGTAGTCAAAATTTTTCAACGAGTATTAAAGCGATCGAGTTCAAATTTTCCACACTTCTTTTAAGCATGTTTTTGTAATCCCTGAACGAAGGATTTATTTTATCTTTGATTTCAACTCATTTTACAAGCCAATATGTGGCACAATTTTATGCAAAAAATGACGTTTTTTAAAAAGAACGCCACAAAAAATTAAATTTAATTTACAGGTTCAACTTGTATATTTATAATTGTTTTTGCAGTTACAAGTTGAACCTGATACTTAATCATGCATATACATTTTTCAGTCAATTAACGCCTGAAAGAATAGAGGATTCCAACACAACACACTAACCAAGCTGTTAAGAAAATAGCGGCTAAATTAGCGCACTTAATAGTTGTTGGTTAATAATGAATTGAATAGTACCATAACAGATTATATGGCTGATGTTGGCGCAGTGGTAGAACACTCGCCTGTTAAGTCTGGATCTGTTAGTTCGATCCCTGCCATAAGAAGTCTGATGAGGAGATGTGGTGATCTCCGAAACAGCTGTCACTTCTACCATTTTTCTTTGTTGTATAACAAATATTCAATTCATACAAACAACAAGTCCTCGTAGTCTACTTAATAAAAATTAAATTTAATTTTTTTTAATTTTTCTTCGTTCGGAGACAAGAAAAATTCACCTACTTTAAGAAAAAATTTTTACTGTGGTCCGGATGGATAGAAATACTAAAGGTTTGAAAGGTTTGGATGCAGTACCCGCCGGTGAAAGCAGAGGAAGAGGAAGAACTCCACTCCGTTGGTAGAGAAGAACCTGGCTCTACCTGGTATCTCCAATTGGCGCCAAACAGCGAGAAAAAGGAATGGCGAAATGAAATGAAACACTTCTGAAAAACGTTTTTTCGATTTTTCTTTAATCTCTTCAATCGTAGCAAAACGCTTCCTTTCATCGGTGTCTTCAGGTTTGGGAAGAGGAAAAAGTCAGCGGTGGCCCAGTCCGGTGGTTGAGGTATGATAACGGTTTTGTTTTTGGCCAAAAACTCACGCACAAGCATTGATGTCTGAGCAGTTGCGTTATCATGGTGCAAAATCCATGATTGTTTATTTTTCCACAATTCTGTACGTTTCTGACGAATTGCTTCGCGCAAACGGCCTCTCTGATGGTGATTCGACGATTATTCAAAATCATTTTCTTCACCAGGACGAGCCTTGTCATTGACATCTTCTCGGCCTTTCTTAAATCGGTTATAGCACAATTGAACTTGTGTTCTGCTCATAGTAGACTCGAAAAATGCCACAGTGAACATTATAAATATCCATTTAATTCATTTTTTACATAAAACTTAATACAGTTTTTTGATCCATTTTTTCGAATAGGCAAAATCGAAGGGCACACCAAAACACGACTAATCTTTTTATATGTCAAAAACAAACTGGCAATACAAGCCGGCTGATATTGCCAGTATATATAACAGACATGTGTACCAGCAAAACAGAAAAAAGCGAAAATTAAACATACGTAGCTCACGAAATTTAAAAATAACGAATATTCTCTAATCACACCTTGTATGTATATATCAAAAAACCAAATAAAGCTCGAAACACTATAAAAAAGACTCTTAAACTAAATATCAAGATTATGTTTCACTTACATTTTTGTAAAAAGTGTATGACTTAAATACACGAAAATATAAAATTGAATTATTTCGGCCAATAGAATGTATGTTGACAATCAAAATCGCACTGAAGGGAATCTTAAGTATAATCATCCAGACATAAAAGGAAAAGAATTAGGGAAAGTGGTGATAATTTATTCATAGAGATAGGTGTGAACTCCATAGGAAAAATTAATGGTGATGTGTGGTGACCACTCCTCTTTACACGCAATATACTTTTTGGATAGAGCTTGGTGGTGAGCTCCGGGTGAGGTATTGGATATGGTGCGAGGAGACCATTCATTTGTTACGTCGATAATTTTTTAAGCTCTTTGGCTTGGTATCCTGAGTTTAGCATCTAATAGACACTTTAAGTTTTTGCTCCACTGTTCACATGATTGCACTTATGCATATAAGCATGCAAGCGTATGCACATATGTACACACTTGCACGCATATATGCATAAGTACCTCAAATGACAGAACGTAAAAGTTAATGCCTAAAAGTATGCAGGGGAAATTGTGCGTGGGATGATCCATACATTAACGGTATGCATGAATAAATACATACATACAAACATGTTTATTTCGCGAATCATTTTACCAATTTCAACGCATAACTAGAAAACTCCAAAGGTTCTGTAGGGTAAAGGAATTAATTGAACTCTACGTACCGGAGTTGACCCGGATTATATCCGGGTAAGGGCTGCCAAGCAGGCGTCATTAGTTTAAGATCATGAACGGAGCAACACCCCACAGCAGGACTGTTTCAAATCCTTCTTATCAGGTCTGCCGTCGAAACTAAACCTAGTGCGACGGGTTGTTTCTGCTGCGTTTACCATAAAATACACCACCATTCTCCCATGTCGGTCAGGCTTGTCTAACCCCCGCCATTAAGACCTTGACAGGATACCTTCTGCTGATACCAGAGCATTACTTGCACAACGAAGTATGCTACCACCAGGGGCATCGGAACGAGAGTACTTGACTAGAAGGACTGCATTGAGCCAAATGTGCAACAACCGCTAGACTGGACGGCGTCCAGACAGGCCGTGAACCACCGTCCATAGTAGACGAAGCTCAAGCTACCTCGAGAGTATCGCGTAATAAAAGCGCAACTTACGTCTGGATATTATAGCAGGTTCAACTCTTACTTATTCAGATTCGATTCCGACATACTAAACCAGCTCATCTAACCTACCTCTCCTTCTGGCCTGAATCCGTCGAAACAACTCGTTTTCTAAACCTCCCGTTAAATGACCTCGCTAATTTAGACTGACTAGCCCGTTCCTAAGTGGGGTTGGTAAACCGTTACCACAACAACAAGAATATTGATTTCAAATTGCCTACCCAAATTGAATCTATATTTCGAAAGAGCAGTCATACTTGGCAATATACATTTTCTTGAAGCTGATTTTAGTTCGCAATAACAAAATATTTTCTTTCAATAATCAATACCTTGATGAAAAATTAGTGTTGGCATGAAAAATTAAAATGAAGAAATTAGTTTCAGAATGGTCACACAGCGAAATTGAAAAAAATAAATGTTACGCCATTCAACAGCCTCTTAATAATTTTTTGTTTTTGTTTGTATGTAAGTATAAAATGATGCACAAATCAAGGCGAATTTGACAAGGTTACTATGGCAGCAAGTTCAACTTTTTTCCTTTAATTAATTCGCTTCATGGTTAAGATAGTTAAAATGTTTGTTTATGGTTTGTATATTTGTTTATATTTTAAATTTTTGTTATTTTTATTTTGAATTTCTAATTGTATAGCTGAATGTATAGCTGAAATTTTTCAAATAAGATTAGTGACTTTTTTCAAAGAAAAGAATACGTTCCGATTTTATTTGGAGTTGAATTTATGCGGCTATTAATTAGCGGCTGACGCACTTAGGGCAAAATGCCGATTTTGATACTCGCTAATCTGAAGCTTTTAACTTCACTTTCTCAAATGTTCAAACCATTTCGTGTACATTATAAAAGCAACGCAACTTCTTCTTTGGCAAAAGAAGCTTTCTATAGCTGTCTGGTCACGTTTCCCGTGATCTCATTCTGCCATCTAGTGTTAGCATTTTCGACAAAAGCAAGTCTTAGCATATTCCTTGCCATGACAAAAGTAAACCTGCATCTTGCACATGCTTTATTTTGAATAGAACTAGTGGGAGAAGTAGTTCGTTTATCGTGCAATCGCTTGGAGGGTCCGAGCACTCACACTATGGCAGTGTTGAATATTTTCTGTAAAAATAAAATTTTACATTTGTACCATGATACACAAAAAAAATGACAAAAAGATTGTATGACATTATATCTTATTTTCATTTGAACTTCGAAAATGTTTCATATATTTGCTAAGCCGCCTGAAAATAATTTCATTTGCATTAGATTTCAGAAAATGCAATGCAAAGCCTTTGAGTAAGTTTTCTAATTCTTTACTTTTTTGTTTATATTGAAAGGTTTTGTATTTTTAGTAAGACATTTTTTAATAACAGAAATTCGAAAATTAATTTTTTGAAAAATTAAATTGTAAGCACAAAAATAAAGCAAAAGTCAAAAAATCTTTTTATGTCAGATGGTTAATATTTTCGAAAAAATATTGAGTGATACTAGCTTGTTTTTTATATCATGATTTGAACTTAACTGAATGGTTTTGAAGTGATCACAAATTGAAAGGAAAGACAAGTTACAATTCATATTTAAATAAAAGCTTTCCAAACAAAAGCTCTAACAAATATGTACAAGCGTATGTATTTATAAAAGGCATATAAAGTTTCCATAATGATCTTAGATAATGATGTTAAATGTTATATGATTAGCTCTCTTCTAGCATACATATAGAACATTTGGGTATCAACGAGATTCACATTAAGCTAACAACAGGAATATTAGCCACTGTTGGTGAATTCGTGCCTGTAGTTTTTAGTTGCACAACCGCTGGTGAGTGAGAAGGTGTACAAATTGCCAATTGCAACTGCTTGCATTCTCTGATATAGTGAACTTTACAGCTTACAAAAGTAATATTTACTTTAAGCAATATTTACTTTAAGGTAATCATTGCGTTGCTACTGTGCCAAAATCAAATAAAGTTATGAAAGTAAATGTTTATGCATAAAAGGAGTTAAAAAGTATCTGCCAATAATTTTTGTATTTATTGTAATTTTATCGGCAAAAGGTGCTTACTCGCTCTGATGTAATAGGTGCCACTTCTTTCTTATAAAAAATAATCTTCGCGCTTTTATGTAATAATGTGAGGTTGGTGATTCGTGATAAAAAGTGTAGTGGAAGTTTTTTTATTTCATTGTTTGTACTCGTGTTGTATAAAGCAAATATTAGAGGTCAAATAAGAAGTTAACAAATTGTCATGATTGCTTCATGTGAGCAAACATACATACATATGTACACATCTACATACATATCTAAGACAATAAAAACCTATATATGTGTGTTTGAATTGTACATTGATTTAATGCGTGAAGTGACTGGCAACGTGAGTAGTCATCCACAATTATTAACAAACTTTCTGAGCGTAAATATTTTGTATGCTCTCTGAGAATCGGAAATTGATGGTAAATAATCTCAGTGTTATCATAAGTGAGAATGTTTTGGACGTTAAGCCTGGGTTTGCAAGATGAGAGTTTCTGTTTAGAACAGTGCCAGACTGTGCTGCTCCCGCCTCAAAACCAAGTTCTGGTGAAAAGGGTTTTGATCTGCATATGTATGTATGTTTTCAGATTCTATAGCTGCAATGCGGAATATAATATAATAAATCTAAATATATAACCCGGCATTTTTTTGAAAATAACAAAACTTAACTATCGATCGAAATGCACGTTTGTAATAACACTGTAAGCTACTTTTAGCCATTATTTATTTGAAAGTTTTTTTTTTTCAATAAGTCATGAAGGAAAAAAATACCGTTATTGCAAAAATTACTCATATAGGAACGTACATATCTTTATGAGAAATTATCATTTTAGAAGCCCTTTGTTGTACTAAAAGGAATTAATAAAATGCATCTCAATAAAGTCAAAACAAAATATAATAATGTAAATTCAAAGAAAGAAAGCGATGCGATGGAAAAACGTTTTTCAAAACAACTCAATTTTCTTGGAAAAATAAAATGTAGAGACAATAAAAATAGAGAGAATACTAATATATACATATGTAAAATATGTAAATATGTATAAGTATACATACGTATATAGTTTATAGACGATGTTTTCTCCCCAAAAAAAATTAAGATATCCATCAAGCGGCTGATAGATTTTTATAAAAAGATTTCGTGTTAGAAATTTACTCCGGTAGACAAACTTTCTCGAGGGGTGACCGATGAACCATCATTTAATATAAAAATATAGTTCTACAACCTGGTAATTATAATAAAGAAGTGTACGCCAATTGTTTTAAAATCTATCGATGTACTAAAGCCCGAATGTTACTAGCGAGTATTATCTGGAGTTGTACCGTCTCCGTTATCAGAATTCTTAATGAATTCATCGAAAGGTCTGTCTATTTTTAATTACATTTTGGCGAATTCTCAATAGGATTGAAACCTGGAACTGAGGAGCCGTTTTAAGTTGTCTAAGGAAATTGTACCATGTAGCAAAAGTCTTTACTCAATACTTGGGAGAATAGTCCGACTTTTTGAACAGGCCAGTCCCGGTCCACTTCCCGGAGAGAAGAGTATTCTTCCTGTTAATCTTAACAAAGAAACACCTATGAATCCAATTTCAATTAATTCGATTCATAAGTAAGTTTTTTTGAATAGGTTAGTCACTGTTGCACTTTCTGGAGAGAAGTGTAGTCGTCGTGCCAACTTAAGAGCTTTTTGCTTAAGTTTACACCGAGCTTTAAGTAAATCGAACCATAAATAAGATTTCTTCGAATAGATCAGTCCCTGGTCTATTTCCCGGCATTTTTTTTTTCGTAAAATCCTTTCCAGGTATCAAGAAAACAATCTGATGAAATTCCAAGTCATTCGGTCGGTACTTTTGGAGATTTTTGAAAGTTACTGGATTTTTCCATGCGGACATAAGATTTTTACATATAAGATGAGCAAAATCAATGCTCTTCCGTCTGTTGCTAAGTGAATTAAAAGGCTTTTTAGAGCGATACTGCCGTAATATCCAGCTTTTCGTAAAATTTAGCGGTTTCGGCACAAATTGCCTTTTAAAACTCGTTATTGATGTTCTCAATAATGTATATTTGTTGATATTATTCCCGGGTTAATTTCCTACTACTTTCATGCTACACTAAGATACCGGTAATTAGAAAATTAATATCGGAATATAGAATTTTCTTTTTCTTTTGGTAATTGAAAATATAAAGAAATACTACTAAAAAAATTTTAACTTAACTACATATTTAACTACATATTTATATTGCTTTGTAACCGCTGAAGCGATATTCGGCCGAGGTCCTCCTTCAATTTGTGGTTTTGCGTCTTGATGTTAGTCCAACACATGGAGGGATCTAAAGTTCATACTCAGCCGCCTACGAACGGCTGATAATTTTTTTACGAGAAGCCTTTATTTCATGTCCGAAATACACTCGGAGGGGAGGACATTCCCTGTCTAGGAGCGACCGCAATTAAAAAATTTAACTTAATTTTATTAATTCAATTTTTTTAATTCAATAATTATTGATGTTACTCGAACCAGGACTCGAACTTTGGCCGTCAGAATGGCAGTAGGCAACGCCAACCCCCCAGTTATTGCGACCGCCATATACTTCAGCAACATGTAGATTTTGTATATCTCTGAGCTTAATATGTACAGCTCAAATTCAATCACTTTTATAAACAGCGCATTACCCTTATAGACTCTATTTTATCTCACCAAGACTATCAACTTACTGGCCCTCAGATCTGAGAATATACAAAATCAGCAGCCACCAAAAACTTGATGAACTTAGATGGGATGAACTTAGATGCCTTATGTCTTACGACATCGAGAACTGACTAGCAAAAAATTTAAAAAATACATAAGCAGTCACACACAGAGCCTGGCATTGATAATGTCAATTATAAATAAAAGCGAATTCCTAGAGGTGAGAGCAGGAGAACAAAAACAACAATTACCGTGTATTTTGTTTTTGTTTTCAATGTAAAAATTGTCAAAATCATGAAAAATTCATCCAATTCACTCAGGTCAAATTGAATTATTAATTCAAACAATTCAGAGAAGAAGAAGAAGAAAAACAAAAATTAAAATTGATGTCGTTAGCTTTAAAAACCAAAGTATGCTAATTCAAATGACATTAACAGTAAAGTAGCTTAATTTTATGGGATGCTAGGGAATTCATGAAGAACGTGTATTCAGAAGGGAAGTAAGCAATGGCAAAGAACGTATATTGATATACTTCTTTGACAATGGCTATAAGACACCAAATATACTAAAATTACTTTCAATACATTTTAGTTCCATATTAAAGCTAGGAAATTATCCACGTACATGGAAAATGTCGCATTCTTAACAAGTTTACCAAATAATATACCAACGGACGGTGAAAAAGAGATTTCATTACTTACTTACTGGTGTAGACACCGCTTACGCGATTATAGCCGATTTACAACAATGTGTTCCTCTTTTTGCTGTTTGGCGCCAACTGGTCTTTCCAACGGAGTGAAGGGGTTCATCTTCCTCTGCTTCCGCCGGCGGGGACGGCATAGAAAACTTTCAAAGCTGGAGTATTGGCATCCAGACGGATCACGTGACTTAGCCAGCGTAGCCGCTGCTTCTTGATACGCGGAACTATATCAATGCCGCCGTATAATTCGTACAGCTCATCGTTCCATTGTCTGCGGTACTCGCCGTTGCCAACGCACAATACTTTTGTTTTTCTTTTTATAAGAGACTTGTAGAGCTTGGTTTTGGTTCTTTAATGGGAAGAGATTAATTTTCAATCGCCTACTCATGCCAAAGTAGCACCTGTTGGCAAGAGTGATTCTGCGCTGTATTTCAAGGCTGAATCTCATCCGAGGCATTGTACAATTTTTCACTGGAGCTGGTTACTAAGTGGCGGATGATAAACCCAGCGACAAACCTCGCTAAACAAGTAAGTTTAAAGGTTTTTACACATTTATATAGCGAGCCGCTTGCTTCAAAACCGACGCCCGCGCAACCGCAAATCTGATGAACAGATGCTGCAATTAGACTTTAGCAGACCCTTATTAGCCTTTCACGTTTCCAGGGTGCGCCAAGTGGACGCAAGAGTAGGAATTGAGTATAGCCTCGCAACTGTAACAGCATACCCAGAAGATTGACTACACCCCATTGGATGCACAAAAATCAGCGAATATGAGAGTTGACTGGAATAAGTAGCTTTAAAAAAGTCTTGCAATTGGATCAAATCAAAGAAAAATACAGTGTGTTTGATGTTATTTCCTTTTGTAGCTACTAGAAATTATCGAAAAATTTAACTATTTTATTAATAAAATATCACATATAAGTAAGAAATTAATAATAAGTACGTTCAGGTCAAGCGAAACTTAGCTTTGGATAACTTTTATAATGCTATTGTATATTGTATACTGAAATGCTTTTTTTCCCATACATACATACATATGTGCATATGTATGGATAATAAGTCTAGATGGCCAAGCGTAGGATTTCTTATGCAATTAGTACCATAAGCTAAAACGTATTGCTAACATGTAGCACTTCGTTTTGCAATGTTTTACATTAATAGACTTGCATAAGTACATTTGTATGTATGTATACATATATTTACGTATACGTGTTTGCTTTCCCAGTCTTCTTATTTTAGAAAAAAGCTTTTTCATTCTATACCATAAATAAATGCAACATGTTGTATATGAAGCAGCTTGATCTGAAAGCATCAATGTATTTAATAACGTTGTTGGGGTGATATTTATACATGCATACATATATTATATGAACACAAACATGTTCTCGTATCTGTGAATTTATTTTATGTATATATGAGTAGGAGGATGGGGCCATTTGTTGTGCCATTAACCTGGCAGTGGAATAAGCGAATATTTTACATATGGTTCAAGCAGCTCCCGACTTCCGGTCTTATACCA